AAGACCCTATTGCAAATGTTCAGTGGTTAACTCAGCCATACTGCTCTGTGACCTCCACCCACTGTCTTGTTAGGCAGCAGAAAAGTAGTGAGAATCATAGCAAAGGTTTTGCTAAACTAAGGACAGAGCACTCCTAAAAGCAATGAGAGGGATAGTGCACAATTTTGCTAAACTCAGAACACAGCACTCATACTGGAGAGAATAAAATTATCTACAGCTCCATCAGTAGAGCACAAGGCAATTTTTTTAAAATCTCATCAATGCCACCACTTAAAAGCAAATTATGCTATAAACCACTCTATAAGCACATCTGATGTCACAAACAGTGCCCCAGCTTTGGCAGGATGGTAGAACTGCTCCAGGCATTTGGCTGAGGAAATCTCAGAATCTAATTTAACACTTTCAATAATTATCAAAACAAAAATTATATGTAAGTTGTAGGAAAGTGAATGTGCATTCATTGTGATATTATTTGAAGCATTTTCTCTAGTACAAGAAATATCAAAGTAACTGTACTCCTGTAAAAGTGTTTATAGTGTCCTTCTCCCTGAAAATTGAGAAGAAATCCAAATTACACATATATCCAAGATGATTCCAAAAGCCACTCCATAAGCAGTGCAGGCACATGGGTATGTTTCCTAGAATTCTGTATTTCCCATCTGAAATAAAACTAAGATTATGTAAGTTAAAATCATTAAATTTGGGAATAACAAAGACAATGCAGGTAGGGTATTTCTATTGCACAGTTTTCTGAGAGAAGAATCATTTCTTTGTATTAGTGCCATTTCCCAGGCAGTTTTAATGCAGCTATACTGCATAGGAAGCCCTTAGAGCAGAAGGAACATTGAAAATGATCAAACTTCAAACACGAAAAAAGGAAGACATGACAAAACAGAGTCAGTGAAGGAAAAAGAATTATTATTTAATATATGATACCTTTGCAAGTTTGTTCCTTGTTTACAGTTCATCTGTTTACTGTGTCATGTTAAGCTGTTTAAGCATGTCAGATTTTTTAATCAATTAAGTTTCTTAGGTGTGTGTTTGTATGGTTTTCATTAAGCTTGTCTGCAAAGGTTATCATCTTTTAACATACTGTCTCAGGACACAAGTTATTTTTTTCTGTATATATATACAATACAATTGTCAAAAGTATAAAATTTTTGTCATGGCATAGATGGGTTCATATCTCACTGGACAACAGAATCCATAAAAAATAACAAGGAAGATTGTGAAAGATTAGTTTCAGGGTTCATTGAAAGTCTTTCCATAAACCTTAGTGAGCTCTGATTGTGCCCTAAGATGAGTTACCAAGGCTGTCAGTTTTCTTTTACCAAGCATTTGCTGAGAAAAAACCCACATTTGTTGCTGGAAAGAAGAAGTTTTATCCTGAAGCCTGATACCAGCAGATGAAGGTAATTTCCCAGGGAGAAGTGAAAAGGCACCAAGCTCCTCAGGACTATCATACTAATGTAGGAACCACAAATCTGATCTGGTCCACTTCTCATTTTCAGTCATTCCAGATCATTTTCATGAACAAGTTTACTTATTTCCAATTATAATTATATTAATGATGGTAATCCAAAAGAGGAAGAGAAATATTTATGGCAATATCTTTGTCTTGATAGTGTTCTTAATTTAAGCAGACATATCTATCTCATAAAAGTCATGGGACGAGAAGTCTTATCTCAGACGACAATTAAGCTGGTGGTTAAATCATGGACTTCACTCAACACCAGGTCTACATGCATGTGTGAGAGAAAAAAACAAGTGTTTGTAGAAGCAGTATTGGAAAAGATTTGACTAAACTCCACAGTGGCTATTATTCCCAGCTCAGGCCGTTTTTTTTAAGGCTTCCCCAACATTTGTGTCCCCCTAATCAGTATCTGCATTCATTGATTTTGGATACTTTCCCTAAATCTGTGTTTATTTTTGCAGGATAGTCCAAATTTCTGTCTTTTCCCAGATCCACACTGTGGCAGAAAAAGTGCTATCTTCATTTAAAATTTAGGTTAGCTTCAAATAAGGTAGCGTAAGGACTTCAAGGCTGACTGGGGTCTATTAACATATACTGGATTTATATATAACTTGTACTCAGTTTATATATTCAGTTTGAGTATATTAACGTACACTCAATATATGTTAATGGAGTTGTTTTTTCAGATTTGTGTGCTTCAGATGTGGATTTTTATGCCTGGAGAACATGGATGAAAAACACAATTTGCATAGACTTCTCTAAAGAATAAGAGAGTAGGATTGACACTGATTTCAGAGAAGTTCTGGTATGGGTTTGAACATGGACTTTTACCTGCTGCCCTAATCTATGATTGTAATTATGCAAGCCCATAGTAAACAGAATAACTTAATTTGAAACAAACTATACAAATAATCCATAATTGAATAAGAATAGCAGTTGAGCCAGTATCTAGTGAAACTAGTACTGAAATAAATAAATATTCTGAGCATGTTTTAAACTATTGCATCATTCTTCAAGGCAGCACCTACAAACAAAAATCTGACTGTACAAATGACAAGCAGGTGTACTGATTTTACAGATATGAAACATTATTATAGTCTAATCCAAATTCTTACTCAAGACAGGCCATAGAACCAGAAAATCAGATAAGACATACTTGAAAATTACATGTTAAAAATATCCACATGGTTGTTTTCCAACTCTCAGTAATTATGAAATTCCCTATAGAAAAGGAAATGAGGAACAGCAACTTTATTGCATTACTTCACTCACACACTGGAGGTAACAAGAAAAGAAAGAAAAAAGCAGTTTATGGAGCGTTCATGCTGTCACTGAAGGAAACTAGCAGGGAAAATCATAAAGAGGGATCAGATGTGCACTAAATGAAAATACTTGGTTACTGGTAATGGATACATTAATGTTTGTACAGATATTCCCAGCATTTTCAAAGTCTGACAAATAACTCAAAGCAGTGTAGATTCAGTAAGAAACACTGCTTTGCTGATGAAATGAGATTAATTCATCATAGTAAAGCCCCTCGGGTCAGATCCTGAGACTGATGCAAGTTTTACATAAATAGCAAATGAGTGAAAACTAAGTGAAATATTTGGTGCTTAGTTCAACAGCTGTATGAATGAATACATTTAAACCCCAAACCTATTTGAAAATTTGAACTGAATGAAGGACATCACATTAAAATCATTAGGACAGCCATAACCATCTCTGTAACAGTTTACAAAAGTCAGTGACTGAAAAAAAACAAAACAGCTCATTGTTTTATAAGGCTGAAGCTCTCCAACTCTTCAATTTTAGCTCAAGGAATGAAATAGTGTGTCATTTGTCACTGATCCTCATCATATCCAACACAGAAACAGATGTTTAATTTCATTATTTTGTTATAGATGCCAATATTTCAGTACCCAAGAGGAGAGCAGAAATGCACTTTTACAGGTCACCGTTTCTACAGTCATACTTGTTCAATTAAATGTGAAGTTTCTCTTCCAGCTAAGAGAAGCTGTTCAGCCTATTCAGCCACCTTTAGACTTCCTACACTTTCCTCTGTTTCATCTTCTAAAATAGCAGCCACAAGTGCAAACCTCCTGATAAAGTAGCCTGTTTCACTTTGTCAGAGGGTACATATCACTTTCACTCATCTTGGTCTCATTTCTGGTTTTACCATTCTCTTGCCCAAGAGCAAAATTACAACAGTAGTAGTCAGTGTTTAAGCTTGAGAGACTTCATAACCTCGCATTTTTATGGCTGGGCTTATAAACAGAAGTCTATAAACAGGAGACATTTTCATACAGGAAACAGAATCTTGGTTCTACTGAAGTCTAAAGAAAATTTTCTGTTGACTTCAGCACAGAATATTAACTGGAGACTGTAACAATGCATGTGCTTCTAGAGTGAATATCATGACTTACACACATTTTTAATCCTTTGTAGAAATGAGATGAGTGGAAATGAGAAAGTAAATCGTGATTCACATTCTGTATTAAAGTCTCTTCATCTTTCATGGAAGTTAACAATATTATTAGCTGATGCACAGATATTCAATTTTGGAAATACCTCAAAAACTATTTGAACTCATTGCAGCCTTTCCTTTCTTTTTTTGAAAGGTCAGAGAGAGAGCATTTGTGGTTTTATTTTTCAAAAGAATATATTTCCAAATATACTTATTTGTATAAAGAAGGAAACTGTGAAGATTTTTGCTTGTTCTAAAGAAATTAATTTTTTAATAAGCTCTGGAGTGATAGGTTTAGGGGTTTTTTATGCTTAAGTGCCCATATAGCATGGAAACCTTTGTCTCATTGAGCTTTTCAGATCAAGTTTTCAAAACTGGGGAGCTGAAATACTGCAGATAAAATTTAATGTCTGTCCAGGTTTAAGATAATATCAGTGTTTAGAATCACACCCCATTGTGCTGCATAGAATTACTTTTTAAATACTAAGTGCTGAAGAAAGAAAGAAGTTTTAAAGTGCTTGTATAGGAAACACAAAATGTCCCTAAGAGCTATTTAAACCAAAGCATTTTCAATTCACCCTTCCTTATTTGTTGTTGAGTATTAAAATGAGATCACATCCAGAGTCACATAGAATAAAATTATTGTGGAACTGTGCTATTAAAAGCTTTAAAATTCTCCACTGAAGTTATTTAAATAAGGGACTGATCCTGAACTATTTCTTACATGGTGGTCAAATTTGCAGTGTCTTCTGCGGTTTCCTCAAGACTCACACTTTTATACAGTTAAGTTCTGGCCAAGGTGAAGATCATACCTCAGTTCAAATTAGCAAGGGTTTGCTACCAACATGAAAGGAGATGAGAAGAGAAGCTGCATTTAATCTTTCCTCAATTTCTACATCATGGGGTTTAGCAGATTGGAGGGGGGAAAAAAAGCAACAGGGTGATCCTTATTTAGACTGGAAATCTGTACTTTCCCTCCCCTTTTAGGTGCTCTTTTGTTGGATTATATAGCACCTCTTTGATTGTGCTGGTCATTTACTATTTAAACTCTTTCCCTCGTAGGCTTGGTCCTGTGATGTGTGTCGCTGTGGACAGTGGAATAAATCCATATGCTCAGTGAAAGCAGCCAGAGGTTAGTATTGCAAGGAAATTATTTCTTTCTAGTAATTTCAAGCACTTCTACAGCTTCTGCCATAACTCCATGTTCCAGAAAGATTGAAATTTTGCATAAAACAGACTGTGGAAGAAGGGAGTAACCAGCAGCCAAGACAAGAAAGCAATTAGACATAACTCACTGTCACTTCTGTGTATTTTTGGCAGCATTTCAATAATCTAACAAAAGCAGTAAATAACATAGCTGGGTTCTCAATTGCTATGGGATTTCTGAGGCATTTTATACCCATATTGCTGGGATAGATTCAGATACACAGGATGAAAGATATCTGAGGGACAGGCCCATACTTCGAAGTGAAGATTTTGGTCTACAGGCATATTTCATGTACAAATTGTGTGAGTTTAACTTTGTTTAAAATGAATTTTGAAAGAAAACATTTTCCCTTTTGGAAAGAAGTGGTCTTTTTTGGTATTCAGAGGATTCCTATCCCTTTCTTCCTTTTTAATATGTCAAGCCTTTGTGCCAAAGAGTCCTCAGTATCTAACTGTTCCTTATTTTGCCCAGAGACAGAGTGACAAGGAAACAGCAGAATGCATACTCCCTAACAATCCTCTCTGATGCAACATACACACTTATATATATATTGCATATATATGCATACAGACACAAATATAGTATACACATATATATATATATATATATAGTGCATATATATATGTACTCTATTTCCAATCAGTAAGCTAGGGACTGAAAGTTACATCCTGATATAATTATTAGATACTTGTCCCAGATGTAAGAAAGTTTTTTTAGCCTTTTCCACTATCACAAGTGTTTTCTGAATCATTGTTTTAGAGACCCAACAATTTTTGCTTTAATCACTACTCTTCTTCTTTGCATTGATCGATCCCTTTGTCTAAAGTTTCCATCTTAAAGTTTCATCACTGGGCCTTTGGCTTCACACAGTATCTTAAAGATAATTCCACAGTCTACCCTGTTAGAAGGAAGTAATCTGTTTGCATGCAGGTTTTTAAGATGCCTTCTCTTGTCCACAGACTAACTAGGCCACAGAGATGTGCTTTTATCTATCTTTAGAAACAGGTTTATCCAGCACAGAGCTTCCTGAAAAAGAAAGAGGAGTGTCTTTAGTACTACAACCATCTTCATGCTCTCCACCCAACATTTCCAAGAATGGTGTTTTAAATAGCATCAGTATGTCACAGGTGACAGAAGGAAAATATGTCTAATTTTCCAACCTAACATCTGCCTGGTTGTATAGATGTGTGTACCCAAACACACATTCAGATAAGTGCATCCCTCAGGATGACTACAAGGATGCCATAAAGTTATGCGGGGTAAAAATTAGAAGGACCAAATCCCTGCTAGAACTTAACCTGGCTACTGCTGTAAAAGACAATAAAAAAATGTTTCTATAAATACATTAGGACAAAGGAAGGGTTAAGGAGAATCTCCATCCTTTACAGAATGTGGAGGGAAACATAGTCACAAAGGATGAGGAAAAGGCTGGGGTACTTAATGTCTTCTTTGTCTCAACATTTTATAGTAAGACCAGTTGTTCTTGGGGTTCCTAGACCCCTGAGTTGGAAGACAGAGACAAGGAGCAGAATGAAGTCCCCATAATCCAAGGGGACATGGTTAGTGACCTACTACATCACTTAGATACACACAACTCAATAGGACTGGGTGAAATCCACCCAAGGATTCCCAAGGATCCTCACTGAGTGAGCTGGTGAAATTGCTCACCAAGCCACTTTTCATCATTTATTAGCAGTCCTGGATAACTGGGGAGGTCCCTGATGACTGGAAGTTAACAAATGTGATGATGCCCATCTACAAGGGCCAGAAGGAGGTTTCAGGATGCTATAGGCCTGTCGGTCTGACCTCAGTGACAGGGAAGGTTATGGAGCAGATCATCTTGAGTGCCATCACATGGCACATACAAGACAACAAGGTGACCAGGCCCAGTCAGCATGGGTTTATGAAATGCGGGTCCTGATTGACTGACTTAATCTCCTTCTACAACAAGATGACCTACTTAGTGGATGAGGGAAAGGCAGTGGATATTGTCTACCTAGACTTTAGAAAAAATTTGACATTTCCCACAGCATTCTCCTGGAGAAACTGGCTTGGATGGTCATACTCTTTGTTGAATAAAGAAACCAGCTGTATGGCCAGGTGCAAAGAGTTGTAAATGGAGTTAAATCCAGTTAGTGGCTGGTCACAAGTAGTGTTCCTCAGGGCTCAGTATTGGGACCAGTTCTGTTTAATATCTTTATCAATGATCTGGATGAGGAGATCAAGTGGACCCTCAGTAAGTTTGCAGACACCAAATTGGAAGAAAGTGTTGGTCTGCTTGCAGGTAAGAAGGCTCTACCAAGGGATTTGGACAGGCTGGATTGATAGGCCAAGGCCAATTGTGTGAGATTCAACAAGGCTGAGTGCCAGATCCTTCACTTGGGTCACAACAACCCCACACAATGATACAGGCTCAGGGAAGAATGGCTGGAAAGCTGCCTGATGGAAAAGGACCTGGGGGTGTTGGTCGACAACCAGCTGAATATGAGCCGGCAGTGTGCCCAGGTGGCCAAGAAGGCCAATGGCATCCTGTCTTGTGTCAGAAATAGTGTGTCCATCAGGACTAGGGAAGTGATTGTCCCCTTGTATTTGGCACTGGTGAAGCCAAAACTTGAACACTGTGTTCAGGTTTAGGTCCTTCATTAGAAGAAAGACATTGATGTGCTGGAGCACATCAAAGAAGGGCAATGAAACTGGTGAAGGGTCTAGAACACAAGTCTTATGAGAAGTGGCTGAGGGAACTGGGGTTGTTTAGTCTGAAGAAAAGGAGACTGAGGGGAGACCTTATTGCTCTCTGCAACTCCCTGGAAAGAGGTTGTAGCAAAGTGACTGTTGTTCTCTTTTCCCAAGTAACAAATGATAGGACAAGAGGAAATGGCCTCAAGTTGTGCCAGTGAAAGTTTAGCTTAGATATTAGGAAAAAATTCTTCACTAAAAGGGTTGTCAAGCATTGGAACAGGCTGTCCAGGGAAGGGGCTGGATAACCATCCCTGAAGGCATTTAAAAGAGTAGAGGTGTTTAAAAGTGTAGACGTGGTGCTTAGGGACATGATTTAGTGGTGGACTTGGTAGTGCTATGTTAACAGCTGGGCTTGATGATCTTAAAGGTCTTTTCCAACCTAAATGATTCTATGATTCTATAATTCTAGAGAGCTCAGGCAAAAGGTAACAGCCTTATTTATCATGAACCAAAATTCATAACCAATATTTTAGATGAACTCCAAATTCAGGTGAATTTCCCTGTATGATCAGTGGAACATAAAATTTTGCTGGAAGAAAATTATTAGTCTGCCTTGTCACACTGTACCACTAGAAAGGCTTGGAGCATTCTTAAATGTCAATGACTCTGAAGACCTGCAAGGTTTTTGACATTAATTCTATATTTAGCTTTAGAGTGGAGACTTTGCCCACCTATTCAGAAATGAAAAACCCCCTAGATTAAGTCTATAAAACTGAATGCGATTTGGAGAGTCGTCAAAGGTCTTTCCTCCCCCTAATCTACAGGTAAATATCTCTGGGATTAAAACAAAGAAAATAAATTAATGTCTGCCTTCTTATTACAATACAAAGTGAGAGAAGCCAGGAAACATGGTGCAAAACCTGATGGTACACAGTGTCCTCAGATCACTTGCCCATTGTTTTCTCTCACAGCAGCACATGTTAATGATACAAAGAAGTTTAACATTTTTTGGCTTTGGCTTTTCATGTCAGAACCATAATAAATGTGCACATTATTGTTTGTATTGCCATATCCTTTAGATGCACCGCCAATTTCTAGAGCCTGTGCATGCACAGCCAATGACAAGATTTTGCCCCCAAGTAGCCTGGCTGAATTAAATTATGGAGAAACATTGCCATATAGATTTGGGTGCAAAGTAGTGTGTCACAGTACAACATGTTTCTGTTGCAGAGATGTTGCATGGGTCAAACTTGATTTAAACCACCAATTCCACTGCAGGAAGACCAACGCTTCTTCGTTCTTCACTAAAAATTTAATTCTGCCTTAAAAAGCCATTGTCTTATATGGGCTTAAGACAATCTTTGTTGTATTTAGTTAAAAAAAGCCAGCAACATCCAAAACAATAAAACAGACAATAAAATGTTAAACCTAGGAGAACAGGAAGAAATAAAGATATTTGGTCTTTTGTTTGTTTTAAGGAATTTGGGCAACACAGAGAAAATCAAATATGATGAAGAACGAAGAAATGAATTTTAACATGGACACTACCCGAGCCCCTCCCTTCTCCCGCTGCCTGCAGCCGCTGAGCCCTGTCACAAAGCCACAGAGAACAACTCCTTTTGGTGAAGAATTTAGACCGCACCTCTCACATTTCCGCTATGGCCCTCCTCCTCTTGGAGACATGGAAACATTCCAGGGATCCTTGGAAGGAGGGTCGCGGAAACGCAAGAGCATGCCAACAAAAATGCCTCCTTCTATTGCCCTTGAAGGTTCCTCATCACCACCAGATAGACCTGAAGATCACAATGACATAGGGCCTTCCAGTATCCCCCTGGTGTTCCAACAGCCAACACAGCCAAAGTACAGTTCTCAGATGATTGATCTCTGCAACTTTGGTTTCCAGTTCTACAGAACTCTGGAGCACTTTGGAGCCAAACCCATTAAGCAAGAACCAGTGAAGTCTAACATGTCATGGCCCAGTAGCCCAGCATTCATGCGGGCTCCTTACCCCTATTATCCTAAAGTCCACCCTGGATTAATGTTTCCTTTTATTGTGCCACCAAACTTTCATTTCAGGAACCCCTTTCAGATGAAAAGACCTCCAGATCCACCCTTCAGGAAGGCTGAAGTAAGAGAAAGTGGTGAAAATAAACAGAAGGTGGAAAGAGTAGATGTCAACCTTCAGATAGATGACAGTTACTATGTTGATGTGGGGGGTGAACAAAAACGCTGGCAATGTCCCATGTGTGAGAAGTCCTATACATCCAAGTACAATTTGGTCACCCATATCTTGGGGCACAGCGGCATTAAGCCACATGCTTGCAACCGATGTGGCAAGCTTTTCAAGCAGCTGAGCCACCTGCACACACACATGTTGACACACCAAGGCACTCGGCCACATAAGTGCCAGGTGTGCCACAAGGCTTTCACTCAAACGAGTCACCTTAAAAGACACATGATGCAACACAGTGACATCAAGCCTTACAACTGCAGGATCTGTGGCAGAGGTTTTGCCTACCCCAGTGAGCTGAAAGCACATGAGTCTAAGCACGAGAGTGGCCGAGAAAACATCTGTGTGGAGTGCGGTCTGGATTTCCCAACCCTGGCCCAGCTGAAGAGACACTTAACAACCCACCGTGGCCCTATACAGTACAATTGCACTGAATGTGATAAGACCTTCCAGTACCCGAGTCAGCTGCAAAACCACATGATGAAGCACAAAGACATCCGCCCTTACATCTGCACTGAATGTGGCATGGAGTTTGTGCAGCCCCACCATCTCAAACAACACTCCCTAACTCACAAGGTAAGCCGGCGTGGGTTGCGCTCTCACCTTGCATCAGAAGGTAGCACAAGGGTTACAGCCTACTAGAGATACACGTATGCACCTCCTCGGAAAGAAGGTAATCAGTCTTACAGAGCCTCATGCTGGTCCTTTGCCAGCTGCAGAGTTTTATGCAGAGCAAAAGCCCCAGCAGCTCTATCAACAGTAGAAGCTAGATGTCTCTGTCAGTCTTAAGAAAGTAAACACAAACCCCACTTTATTATAAACAGCAGTTCAATTAAACCACCTGTATTACTTCCCAAAACTGTATTCACATCTCTTTGTTGCTGGGTTTTATCTTCAGAATGACCTTCTGTAACATAACATAATTTTGTAGAGCTGTATAAGCCCCCCAAAATTTTAACAGAGATTTTCTACTGAAAACCAATTCTATTGCTCTGCTCCTGTAATTGGGAAGTAGGTGGATTTGTAGTAGACTGTATGTGTGCAGCAAAAGAAAGTGTACTATTGCTCAACAGATTTTGAAGAATCATTATAATGCAACATTTAGGGAAAACAAACAAACAAACAACAACCTAAGAAAAATTCCCCTTTGTGCATAAGTTATCCAGAATGCCAGTTCATAAAAGTGGACTAGCAGGACCATAATCCCGGCCAATTTGTATCAAGTGGCAGTCTTGCCACTGCTGAAAGCAAAGACAGCAGAGTCAGTTTAGGGTAGGAGAGGGCATTGGAACACATCCAGAATGATCATTTTCAAAAATAGGAAAAACGTAGCTGTTCCACTCAAGAATGTCTGAAATTGCTTATCCACCTTCACAAAAAAGTTAAGACAAGTCAAACCCCCAAACATTTTATAAAAAGTTTCTTCCAGCTTTGCATATTTTTCCTTTAACACTTGAATCTTGGCTTTTATATGAAAAAAATTAAAATACAGAAAGCTACAACATTTCAGCCTTATGGACACATTTTCTTTTAAAAACCAACGACCCCTACTTCCACATTTGCTTTTGCTTCCCTACTATACAATAATAATTTCAGCTCTTTTTGGAGATTCCCTGGTCTCTGGATTTACCATGCAAAATTCTACTAATTTAAGACTTGGTCGTTTTTTTTGTCAAAGGAAATGCAATGCCCCTGAGGCTTTAGAGCTTCTGCTTCTTTGTCGACAGCCACAGGTGGATTCAGCTGTGAACGTAATTAACAGTGCTTAGCTGACCAAATGCAGTATAACATCTGATAGGCAGACATGTATAATTGCTGTTGGTGCTCACAGTTTTAGCTTTGCAATTGACTGTGAAAACCAATGACTGCCACAAAAGTAGAGACTGTTTCAAGTTTTCTTTGTAATGGGGGCCTGCAGGAGGAGTAATTGCTTTCGGCACTTCAGTAGTAAATCCTTACTGTCTTCAGCAAATTATACTCAAACTTTTAAAGTGTTTAGTGATACGCTCATTGATTTTCATAGCACCTAAATCTTTTTTGTAGGAGCTGACAGTTAGACCACATAAGTGTGAGCAAGAATATTGAATTATACATTAGTAAATTGACTGGGTAGCATAAAAAGTGCTAGAAATGCTCTGTAAACACTGGGTAAATTGAGATCACTCCATTAGTGTTAATGCAAGTCCCACTAACAGTGAACAGTTTTTTCTGTTCATTGAATGTAACATGTATATCTTTATTTGGTGACATTACTTACTACTTCTCAATTACTTGAGATTCTTCTCTATAGCTTTCTTCAAATCAGGGCTATGTCTTTTTTAGAAGCCAGTGATGTTCAATTATCAAATGCAAGTACTACTTTAGTCTCTTAAATGATTAGCTTTTATTCTTGGTCAATAAGTGTACACATTTGACCAATATGTTACATAAGCAGCAGAGTAGGGCAGAGAAACTCTACTACTGACTGTCTCATTGATTTGTAAACTTACTGATGGAAACAAAGCTCATCATTTCATTAAACTTATATTTTGTCCTTCTTTGCTTCTCAGATTCTTGTAAGAATTTGCCAGGAAAAAAAAATAAGTATCTATTACTTGAGCATGTCATGTTAAAAGTGAAATAATCTATTACCTGCTTTGCTAACGCAGAATGAGTAATTCTGCGCTGAAGATTACATGATCTAGAAAATTTTCCATCTACAGAATTTTCTTATCTTTTTTTCTTTCCTTACAGGGTGTGAAAGAGCACAAATGTGGAATTTGTGGCCGGGAATTTACTCTGCTGGCCAACATGAAACGACATGTCCTGATCCACACCAATATCAGAGCCTATCAGTGCCATTTGTGCTTCAAGAGCTTTGTGCAAAAGCAGACTCTCAAGGCCCACATGATTGTTCACTCTGATGTCAAACCTTTTAAATGCAAGGTAAGTGCATTTGGTGGCAGAGGCATTAATCCACTGGGTATTTCTGTGATATTATCATCTTGTGATATGGTAGAATTAGAAAAACAAGACTTTCTAACACATACTGCAGTTGCATTTAAATTAGCATAAATCAGCCTGGTTTTCTTTCTTTATCCAGGCTCTGCTTACATAGAACAAAATAATGGAGGCAAATATCAATGGTTTACTGCCTTCCTCTTTATTATCAGCAACTTTCATCCTCAATTTTTTTTTTTTTTTTTTTTGGTGAGCATTGCCACAGCTGTTTGAGGTCAATAAACATATCTGACATTTGCTTAGTACAGACATCCAGAAAGAAATCTAAGTGCTTAATAGCTTGAAACACCAACTAAAAGCATAGATCAAGTTGTGCACCCCACAGAGGACCATGGAAAAGCAGCAGCCACAACTTCACACAGTGATGTTATGTAACAGTTCAGGGAAGGACTCAAAGAAATCCACAGCAAAATACAACTGCAGAGGAAACTTGAATGGATCAAGTGTAATTACCAGACTGAAATTCAGGGCAGGACATCAGTATCTTAATGAAACAGCTTCTGAAACCATCTGGCATTTTTAGGACCCTGTGTGAATTCCAGGTTGCTGCCTCTGTTCAGCACATTGGGGTTTGATATTCCCTTTCCATCCTCTCTTCTCTTTCTTCCCCATAAGCCTTTGAGGCTTTAGCTTTCTTGACCATGCTCATCTCTAATATCTTCCTTATGAATTGTTTATGTTTATAGTCTTACTCAGTATTGGACACTACATCTGTTCCTTTTGCTGCCTATTTCTCTGGTTCATTATTGTAGCAATATCTTGTGTAGTCAAACGTTGTAGGCTCTATTCCCCCTTTGATCTTCCCTAAGAGGACTATAAATACGTAGTGGAACATAATACCCAGTTAATGCCTAAGTAAGTGAAGATTGATCTGGAAGCAATTTCTAGAAGTCTTTTGACCAACATTTTATGGAATTAAGTATTTTCTTGAAAGGAACGTTTCATCAAGAAACAAAGCTGGATGAAATATTTAAAATGGAATTATTTTCCCTTGAAAAATGTAGAACTTCAAAATGTCATAAGAGAATATGGCATTCAGTGATAATTTTAATAATAAAATGTCAAAATTAATCTTTTTAAGTTCCTCGTATTGCTTTGATAACTTTGAAGCATTTACCTTTGAAAAAACAACAGCAAAGATTTTCAAATTTAACATTTTGTTTCATTTTAATTCATGTCCTATAAAAATATTATTTTGTATCATAGAACATGTTATTCTACATTCATGAAATAATTTCTGCTACTGAAATGCTTGGGTAGTTCCATGTCAAGTCTGCTGGAGACTTTAATTCTTTGAGAACACTTGTAGACTTGTTTTTTTGTTCCCATTTGGTCAAAGTCCTTGTCCTCTGACCCCTCAAATTTCAGAAAAGGAACTCAATAGTTTGATCAACTATTCTGGATGCAGCATCTAGACCCACAATATTTTTTAGGTATATGCAGACTAGCTGGAAATTTGTGTTCAGGTTAGAGTTTGATGATGACAGACTATTAGAACTTGAAGATGGCAATAGTTTGAACAGGAAACTGGAGTACCACCAGTATGTTTTCCAGCCAGTAACAAAAGCTCTACAGGAACACCTGTTTTTCTTATTTTTTTACTTCCTTGTCCCCACCCAATGTTCCTAAGAGGAAAGAAACAAGTAAGCACAGTGCAACAGTTTCTCCTATGGCTGAAGGGGTATGAATCAACAGCAGTGCCCTTGAAGAAATGGAGATTGTAACAAGAAGCAAAGGGAGAATCGGGAATTGTTCTCTGGCATTAGGAACACCCCTTGCGTCTCTGGCAGACCCCTTGAAAGACTCAAGCAAGTATTTCTGGCTGGTATTCAGGGGGTTAAGGCAATGACCAGATAGCAGCCTTTTGGCACCAAGCTCCTCCTCAGCAGAAGGAAGGATATAGCTGTATGAACAGCCTGCTTAACAATGGCTCACATGTCCCCGGGGAACCGCCTGCAAATAGATTTCATCTTGCTTTCTCTTGTACTTTTCAAAGCTTCCTGTTTTCTCACGGTCCTTTTGGACAGTTTACAGTCTTTCTCCCTCTCCCTCTCTCTTTGAGGAAAGGAACACCCTTCTTATAAAGAAAAAAAAAAAAAAAAAAAAAAAAAGAAGAAGAATGCAAGGGAAAGAGAGCACAGCAGTAGCCTTTCTACTTCACCACATGCAATGGTTTTCTTTACCTTTTTCTCACAGCAAAAGAAAACATAAGGCTTTCCTATGTGTCTAATCACAGCTAAGCACAGACTATCTGAAGTGAGAGAGTAGCAAATAGTTGTCCCTTCTGCTTCCTCATCCAGCTGCAGCCTAGATCTGTGTTTGATTTTCCTCTTAAGAGTGAACTTCTCTGTAACACTTAAAGGCCTGAGCCTGTGCTGCCTTGTTTATTTCGGTTTAAACCAAACCAAACCAAAACACTAAGGAGTTCTGAAGGAGTTGCACCAACTGGTGCAATAGAGTTAATTATGATTTGTAGAGAAAAATTCTATGAAATTTTTAATTGCTTTTAATGCTGGAGTTAGCTATGTTTCAGACCTCCAGCAAAGAATGCAATTAAGTTTTCTCCTGCCCAGCCAAATACACCTTGTGTCAGATGTTTGAACTCTACTTTTTTCCTATCTAAAATCATGGGTTTAGATCAGGAGTCAAAACAAAAGGCAATGTGAGAGATAAGTAGGGAAGAAATAAAACAGACCGACAAATCTAGAAGGGTGATACATCATGTGGTGGCTTAGTGAACAAAAGCTATTGTTGAACTCTTAGCTTTTCTAGCAAACTGTATTGAAGTCCATTTCACCAGCCAGTGCAACTAAACGTGTTCAGCAGACTTGCAGCTGAGGTCTTTCTCTTCAGGGCTTGAATTTCATCTAGAGAGCCTAACAAAAGGTCCACAAGTAAACCATGTTGTTCCTGCCATCACAAGATATCTTGCACGAGCTTCTCATCTCCCTGAGTGCTAAGGTGCTCTGTGGTGAGTCCTGATGGAGCTTTCCCCCATGCAACTGGCTCAGGGTCATCTTTCACATTCCGTTCATCAGTGCTCACACCCTTGCTCTGTCACAGAGAAAGAAAATCTTGTACACCTTCCCAGTTTGGTCTGTAGGCTCGGACTGTTCTTTAAGCACTGGCTGTGAACCCCAGATAGCTCCAAGTTTCTGTTTTCTAGCATGTGAAACCTGTTCTTTTCACCTTCTCAATCATAGTCATTAATCTGAAAGCTGCCTTATGCCATTTGAAAAGGATAGGTTACTCAGAAATCATGCCACACAGAGATACCATTCCAAAAAAACAGGATTTTCATATCTGAATTTCTTTCATTTTCCTGCCACACCTTTCCACTTTAGTACCATTTCCTCATGTCCCCAGAGGAGATTTTAGGACATGAACACATTACACAGCCCTAAGACTGTGCATGACTTTGGGAAATGGAAAACCTATCCCCTTTATTCAGAGATAAAAAACTTCTATGCTGTAAGGAACTATCCTTTACGAAGTCCCCTGCCTTTTCATTATGAAGAAAGAGAAATACAAGTTGCCTTGACAGAAACAAAAACACCCCACTCCTTCTAGAACCATTTTAATACTCAGTACCTTATAAAGATATAGATTCTCATGAAGTACTCTAACCATTCACCCGTTCAACACAATTTTCCTTGATTAACAGCAAAAGCTGTTGAGAACAGAGGTCAACCACAATACAGGCAAATAACCAGAAGCTTTCTGCTAAGATATATTAGGGAAGTATTATTATTATTGGCATTCTTGTAGACAGAGAAATATTGACATGTCATACGTCATTCCAGCAGCTGTCAAGATACAGTCAGCTGCTGTTCTTCCTTGTGAATTTTCTTTGCTCATCAGTGCTGCTTCTCCTCTTTGTTTCCTCCCAGCACTTTCAGAGTGCTTTTTTGTTGCCTTAATTTACCTGGATATAAATCATCCAGCATATTATCTTTATTTGAATGCAAAAAAGAGGTAAACCTCTTTTCTAAATGGATGGATGACCCTTGGAATCAGATATCTTACTTTTACAAATTAATAACTAATTTACACACACACACACACACACACACACACACATATATACTGCTTCCCCCCCCCCCCCCCCCCCCCCCACTCCCCAGCACTGTCTTGGTGGACACTTTGATGTTAACTTTGTTATAATGTCTATTGTAGCAAAATGACAGAGAGCAAATCATAGAAGAGAACTTAAGAAGCTGAAGCAAATAATTTTTAAAAAGCAAGTGAATATTTCCAGACTTTCTTTTTGCAGCACAGGTTCAGCTCTAGTTTATATTTATAAACAATACCCCACAGAATGTAGTAGAATGACTATTTTGTATTAATGAACTGCTTCCATTTTCCCTCAAGAGGTGGTTTAAAATGCAAAAGCTATAGTACTATTTTATAAATGATCATTCCACTGTCTACATTCATCCAGGTATTCCAAGTGATAGCTTTGTGAGTTTGAATCAACAAGCACTGTAGCAGACATTCTGTACTATCAAAATAAATCAGATTAGACCAAAAATTTGGTGGAATTTCAGTAATTGATTTTTACAATTTTGTCCCTAATTTTCTCCCAGATGAGATGTTTTTTACCATTTTCTCCCTAATTTCCTCCCAGATGAGCACACTTCTTGATGGAAGCTTCAGTTACTCAGTAATGGTGATTTTTGCTCAGATAATAATAAAGAATGTAAAAAAAAATACAGTCTAGTGGTAAAAGTATTTGTCTAAAACCATTCCAAAAAAAAAGGAGCTGAAGTAGAAAGCAAACACAGAAATTTGCAGAGGATGGAAACAGCCACTTGAATGTGAATAAAATTTTAACTCCTGATAAGGAAAGACCAGAAGACAAATAAGACTAGAAGCTTGCAATAGTGATGTCAAACTCTCATGTCTTGAGAATACGTTTGATTTATAAGTGACCAGACTACAAAAGGACCCGTCTTGATAAATGATATAAATGAAAAAAAAACCCCTTATTGTTTTGTCAAAGGGAAACCTGCATGTTCAATGTCTTGAGCTGACAGGAACATGCTTCAGGGAAAGCTGAGTCATTCTTGCAGCCTCATGACTGTTTAAATTCCAACTTACTCACCAGAGACACCAAAACACAGAAGTTGGTAAACAGAAGATAAGAGGATCAGAGAAAAATGGGGGAGCAAGAAACAAAGAAAAAAAGGAATTTCTTTTTCTAGCTTTAAGCAAAATGTGCAACCATTTTATTTCTACTTAAGGAGAAGTAATATTCTGCTTGACTGTTCCACAGAAACCCTTCATTGGTTTTATTTTGTATCTCCATTTCTGACTGGCTTTGTTCATGATTAAAGGCTATATTTATAAACTACAAACTAAATGGTTCACCAGGGCAGAAAGTTATGCTTTGAATTTCATTCAAGTTAAAATCCTTCCAGGTTACATATTTAAGCGTCTCCCCTACTTACAACAACAATCTCTGCTTTTGGGGAATACCTGACTGTGTGTCCCAGTCACTAAATTTAAAAAATGGCAGCAGTGCAGAGGGCCCTAGATGGACCAGACTCAACTGCATATTCTCATGTGTAGGATTTTTGCCCAAATCTTTGAAAAAAATGCAGTCAGAATCTGCCAGGTCTCAAGTTGAGAAGAGTAGGTCCTATTTCTTTTTAAAATATTCTCCTTGGAAGTACCCCTTCAAACTAACAATTTTCATTTTTACTGGTTTTACAGCTGTGTGGAAAGGAATTTAACAGGATGCACAATTTAATGGGACACATGCACTTGCACTCAGACAGTAAGCCTTTCAAGTGCCTCTACTGTCCCAGCAAATTCACCTTGAAGGGGAACCTAACCAGGCACATGAAAGTCAAACATGGAGTCATGGAAAGAGGATTTCATTCTCAAGGTAATATTTTTCAGTAAGGTTATTTTAAAGATGCGTATCAATGAACACAAATGGGCTTTGTACCACAGATCCACGATCTTGTACCATTGATCCAATACTATTGGAAGAGATTGAATCCCATAAGCCTGGGAGGTTGTTATAAGCTACCCATATTACTCCAGCGTTACAGATCAGAGATCCCCAAGGTAACAACCCTTGTCTCAGACACCTTTCAGACTAGAAATCTGGTGACACAGAGGTACAGACTGAGATGGAGGAGTAGATGGAGACAAAATGAGACAGTATTTATAAGCACAAAGGAAATAATCTTGGCACACTAAGTTGCTGTCGCCAGGTGTTAGGGAGAATATGGTTAGTAGTGTGAGAGCAGAAGATTTATCAAGCCATACCAAACATTCTTGTACTTAAGCCCAGGTCTCCCTGTCCATTACTGTGAGAAGGTGCAATATCCACAGCACCACAGAGCTTCTCCCAGCATGTGGGTACCCCAAGACACAAATGGGAGTGAGCCGGTGGAGATTCAGCCTTACTGAAGCTGTGGTACGCGTAGTTGGCCAGGGGAATAATTGGATGACATAATCTTCCTGACTGAAGGTGTAGTTCCATTATTTTTTATTAAAAGTTACAGTTTCAAGGGGCTTGATTCCCAGAGGCTGACAGACCACAACCTAGCAGCCATGGAAAAGCAGACATTTTTCCCTAGACACATCTGGTTAGGAGTTTGTATTTTTTCTCTCATGTTCAAGGTACATCATAAACCATAAATTATTTCAAATCTGACAGAAGCAAAAGATCTAGAAGACTTCATGGGTCTTTTTCACTGTTTATTGGATTCCAGTCTGGAATAGAAATTGAAGCCCAAATGAATCTATGTCTAAGATCCTTGGCTATTCTGTACCATATTGACATAATTGATGTTAGTCAAGGCCCATAGGCTTGAGACTCATTTTACAAAGGAACATGTGAATGGGAGGAGACACTCCTCCCTCATCTCAAAGTATAAGGATTTTTGACTACCCAGGGTATCCTACAAAGCATTTCCTATTTCCCACCTACTGCGTATACTTCCTAAAGTCAACATCATGTGTGCACACATTCCAATGTCATCTAAAGAAGTGGTGGAATTAGGCAGATTGTTTTGAGATTATCCAAAATACTTTGTTTAAGATTTTCTGGATAAATAAGTCTTTCATAGGTAAGATTTCTTGGTGTTCCTCAAATTTAAGATTTAGGGCAGCCTAGCATCTGTGTAAAACACATACTCTAATGACAGTTGGCTACCAAGATCCACGCAGGTGATGAAATAAATGACTGACTCTTTTTTTTTTTTTTTTCCCTGTAAATCTCCTACAATACCATGCTAGTTACACAATCACTTGTAATTGAAGATAAAGAGCTTTTCAGTGTTCAGAGATATTCAGCCCTTGAGGCTTATCAGAACACAAAACAATTTGTAAGGTCTGCCACCTGCTCATGAACCATTTTGACAAATACAACCTGTTGCAAAGTAGCAGCTGTTTCTAGTGAGGCTCCATAGGTCCTGCAGAAATTGTATTTAATTACTGAGGGAAAAAAAAAAACAAAACAAACCCAATCAAATCAAGTAAAATAATGATTTTCACAGATATTTGGTATTGGGTGAAATCCTCCCCCCAGTGATGTCACTATTCTTTTAATTGAGATAAACTATGCCTTCAGTGTCTGAATCTTCTTTGGTGCATCCCTATATTCAGAGCACATTTGAGTCCACAGATGTCTCCTGGGTAACCTCTGTATTTCCAGCAAGAGAGGAGACACTGGCAAATATTAAGACACATCAGATCCAGGAGTACACTCAAACTTACACTGCACCACTCAAACTCATCATTTGTTTATAAAAATTTCCTCAATCAGAAGTACTATCTTATGTATAGAGATTTTCAGTGGCATGAATGTCTTCTCAGTGGTAGAAAAAGGAAAAATTAAGGAGGGTGGAGGTGATAGACTGTTGAGACTTGACAGACTTGTCATTTTTAAAGTAGTAACTTGGAACCAGAGTGTCCACAGAACAAGCACATTAACATGTTTTTAATCTCTTCCACTCCTCTGAAAAAAAAAAAGTGTACAAAACCTGGGACTTTGATTATGTCCTGTGATGCTTTAGATCAAAGTTTTCATTAAAAAAAAAAAAAAAATAGGAAGGAGGAAGTGGGTAGGTTCACTGGCAAAAAATAGTTCACAACAGGCCAGGCCACTTCACTTTTATTCCTAACTCCATCATCAAGTGTCTGGCATGTATAGCACAATGTTTTGTGTGTCCTGACCTGGCTGTGAAGTGTATACAATAGTACTTCTTTTAACATCTCAAAGAAGACATGAGATATAAACAGTAAAATACTTGGAGATAGCTGGGTGGAAAACAAATGTAAAGTATGAAACAGAAGGCCACCTCAAGCTTTGTCTTTTAACCATGTACTACATAGTGAAATCTCCTATATATAAATTATTCCTTTTCTCCTCCCCTCAAACCACTACAAGGTTTTGGAAGAGGAAGAATTGCTCTGTCCCAGACAAATGTCTTGAGAAGCTTGGAACAGGAAGAGCCCTTTGATCTTTCCCAGAAAAGCCAAGGGAAGGGAATCTCGTTTCATTCGGATGGCGAGAGTGCCAAGGGGAGTTCATGCCAGGAAGAAGAGGAAGACAACTGCTATGAGACAGAGCGGTACAGCCCTCCCATGTACCACCACGACAACAACAAGCTGTATGTGGCTCAAGATCTGTCTGGCAAACCCGAGTGCATGATGAATGACTTCAGAGAATCCTACTGTAATGAGAAGGAAGAAGTGCTAAGTGAGGGAGGACTGGAGAAAAGAATTGGAAATTCAGACAAACAGGAGAGAAAAGGAGAGAGAGACCATGCAAACAACAAAGAATGCCTCAGCTTTAGATCCTTTGAAAAGGCCAGAATTGGCCAGTCTCTCTCTGATTACTTGTATTTCAAGCACAAGAACAAGAGTTTGAAAGAATTGCTGGAAAGAAAAATGGAAAAACAAACAATGCTTATAGGCATTTAAAATGGACATTTTAAATAAGCTGGAAAATGGGGATCAGATAGCTTTTACATGAACTGTAATTTACCAAAGCCTGGAAGTTCATAGTAGTCTTTAGAAATAAACAAGCAAAATTAATAAAATAATTTAAGGTAAAACACGTACATTAAAAGAATAAAACAGTCCAAGGTGATCAAGAAATGCAATAGATATTGGCCAATAACATTTTTATACTTATCCATTTGATGTATAAGCAGACAATAGGGTAGGTGTAGAGGTTTATTTTCTTTTATCTGGGGTGATAGTGACTTATACGCAATTTTCTAGTTATCAAAAAAACAACATACTTTAGCATTTGACTTATTATCTGACTAAATATATAGGAACATTTCTAACTATATGACTCAAAAAAAAAATCTGAAAATACTAAGTATTTCACAGTGTAAGCAAGAGTATTATTAAGCATGGTGTGTATGAAAGTGCTGTCACTCAGAACTAACACAGTCCAAATACTTTCATTTACTGAAGTGACTGTTAGTTCAAGCACTTACAATAAGAAATGGGAAACAAATTAAGAAGAAGAAATAATGTCTTGTGAGATAGTGAAGGGCAGATCTGTAAGGCTTTGAAAGGACTAGAATTTTATGGTCACAGAAGCTTTTCCTCTGGCACAAGGGATGTTTGTGCTCTGCTATGTTTTAATTAGTATGGGAGTATTCAGCAATGCTTCAAGTGAATTAGCTTAGACTGTGTTGACATTTTGTTCCACTGTCTGCTCAGACCAATACATCTCATGAACAGCAGCGTGTAACATTTGCAAGTCTTGCTGTAATTACACATAAGGAAATAGAAGTAATTTCATTGAGAAAATTGTGCCATTTTGCCATTTATCTCTTCAGTTTATCTTGGCTAGCAAGAATGATTTTGAAATACACAGTTATGATCAGATTTTATTTTTAAAGGTATGCCAAAAAGAGCCCTTACAGGGCAAGCTGTAACGTACAATGGAAAGCAGGTTTTGGATTTCCTCTTACGGGAGTCAGAAATTTTCCCTTATCAGCATGGCTTGACCATTAAGTAAGCTCTAGGTCTTTCAGGAGAATTCTGCTCATGCTGTTTTTTATTGAGTCACTCTCAACTTTTTATCCTCTGATTCCCATATAACTATATGTTCATAACAAAAATGCTAAAAGCACATTCCATTAATTACATGACTAGTTTGACCAGCACCTTGATTACTGCATCTTCAAAATAGGTGAAAAATGGCCCCACACCATCCTATTGCTTATAAGGAAATAAAGATCTATTAAGTCATTTGATTAGTCCTATGTCATTCTGACATACCAGCTCAAAAGGTTAGAATCTATAGGTATGGTACATCTTTTCCATATATTACTATCTTCTTCACTTACCTGCCAAGTTTTTGATTTGTAAGACTTTGCTATCATGCTCAATATATAGCAAGTTATAATTAAATACAGTCATATACTTATGGCTTGCTAAGGCTAGAGTGATGTAGCTGCAGCTCTCTGCTATTATAAGAAGCCATTCATCTTACAGAACTAATGATTCTCACACCTACCAGTTAATCAGCATTCGCAGGGCATCAACCATTATTCATCATATAAAATTGGGTTTGTGTAGTCCAAGGTTGCAGAAAGTAGTTTAATTTTTCAGGTCTCAAACACAGCATAATAAAGATTTTGAATGAATGGCAGAAAAAGCTGTTGATAAAAGAAGCTGTAACATATGTTGACTCTTCTAAATGTAATTAACTCTACAGCTGATAGACATTTTCAAAATAAAAAAAGGCGTACCAGATTGAAGTGGAGCATACATCACTTTAGTACTAGAATTAAAGATTTCTTTGAAAATTAGGTATATTTCAGAGGTACATAGCCATGTGTTTTCAGTGATGAACTGTTTAATCATATACATTCAGCTTCCTTGTTTCCACTGCAAGATAACTCCTCTTGAAAAAGGAGCCATCTTGATTTAGAGGAAGACATCGTTGTCAAGAAGAATCAGAAAATTTTCAGTCATGTGTGCAACCGTATTCTTTCTTAAATCAGAGCTAAAATGATCAGGTAGAAATTCAGCATGGTCTAGGAGGCTGTATCTTAGAAATGGGAACAAGTCCTTCAGCTACCTTCCCGGCAATATCTTGTTTCTGTCAGATAAATGCTCCTATTTGAGAATATATACAACAAAAAGCTGGGAGCCACTGACTGTTAGAAATGTCTCTCTCAAGGTGGTGTAGTTTCCCACTGTTCATGATTCAAGACCAGTCTAATCCACCTTTGCAGCTGTATTATTTCCTATGTTAAGAGGAATAAGAAAGGAATCAGGAACCTGGTTACAATTTCTAGACTAGTGATCACATAGATGAGTTGAATTTAGCAAGTCCCTTCACTTCTGTGGCATGCAGAAAGGCATGCAGCCCTTCCATTGCAAAGCCCTGCTGTCTATGCATTGGAGAGTGTTAAGGGACAGCTAGACAATGTTTATCAAGAAAGAAACAGATGTTTACATACCAACAGTACTCCAGGCAAATGGACCAAAAGAGACATTTTCAGCAGAGCTCAGCTCCCAGTAGATAACATCGCAACCAGAAAAATGATGTCTACTGGATGTACACAGTCCAGAGTTCCCTTACAGACCTTGTAAGGGAATGTGCCAGACACATCCTTAGGAAAGGAAATCACTGCAAATGGTTCTGGGTTGTCTGAGTGTTTAACTGAAACACTTTCAACCACACCACCACTGCAACCAATTTATCCATTTCTACAAACCCACTTCTTATTGGAGCAGAAGCAACTGCCAACCATATATAGCCAGGTGGAAAGGGGTAGAGGTCCCCAGAATGGCTATGCTATCTGGGAGTGAATTGTAACATGAATCTCTTTTCTTGCATTCTTCCTAGAAAGCAGAGAACACTCCATGACAATGAAGCCTTGAGACTGTGCCCAGTCACATAGTAGCACTGAGATAATTCACAGACACCCAAGGCTAATTCATGTTAGAATAGCAAAGAACTCATCTAAAATTGTAAGTCACCAGTCAGAGGAATTGGAAACAAAACTATTAGTGAGATAAGGAGACAGTGTCAAGTGACCCAGGCAAAGAGATTAGGAGGTGATAGTCCTCCCTACTGCAGAACATAATGCAGCTGGGTCTAAGACACTTGTTACAAAGAGGCCCCAAGGGACAAATTAAAAGTGAAATAACAGCCCTCATTGTGAAGCACCTTGCTTTTCAAACATAAGTTATTTTCATGCTATTTACATTGGCACTGCTTTGGGAACAGACAGTAACAGCCTTTGCTTTTTAATAGCTTTGAAAATGCTTTATAGAGATTAGCTCTCATAATGAAGTTATTTCCCATTTCTAATTTTTGAGGGATCAGTTTCCTTGTTTTGCTTTGAATAGAGGCTCAGAAGTCCTGTAGGGACATTGCCTGTGTCCTGGACCTTGCGGACGCATTTTCTTTTTACCCTCCTTCTTAGTATGAGTCTATCTACCTTCTTGCTGTTTTGTGGACAAAAAATGTATTTATCTGACTCTTCTCTTTTATTAGTGTTTTTAGCTTGTGGTAACACATGAAATTAAAGTCCAGTCTCCACCACCTCTATATTAAATCACATCCATAGTATTTCCTTTCATTATTTTATGAAGCCTAACTTCATGTCTAGGAGACCATTAGAGCAAGTAAGAGTGGTCACAAACTCATAAAACCGAGATGTTTTCCAAACTAATACAAACTGAGATGCTTCAAGAAGCTGTGCTGTGGAAAGGTAAATTAGCCACATGATAATGAGTCTGGGCAAGTGAAGGCATGTGGTTTGTTCAATTAGAGGCTTTTCTCTTGTTAAGGGCAGTAGGGAGAATTCTGCAATACACTGTACAGAACAGAGTAGGTGGACGAAACGTCAAAAGTTGGGTTGGTAAAATTTGAGGATAAAGAAATACAATGTAGTTACTAAGAAAGTGAAGTCATAGGTAACCCTGGAACAAGTTGTTTTGACTCTGGCCACCAAGACTCAGTCATCTTCTTGTGAACCTGAGTTCTCCCGGCTGCCAGGCAGCCTCCTGTCCGTGAAGACAAAGACTGGTGCTCTGCGTTCAGCAGTTCAAGGGGATAGAATACTTTATGATAATATTATAATAGAAGCTTATTCTGTGCTGTGTCCTATAAAACATGTTGCTGGAAAGACCAAGCAATGCTACTACATCCACTTTTTACAACTTTGTCTTGGTCTACTAGCTATTCTCCTATTTCTCTCTTCATATGGTGCTGCTGGATTCTGCTGTTATGAGTGTACAGTTAAGAAGTAATATAAGTACCATATTTATTATTCCAAGAAGTTTTTAATAATTATTAACAGTTTTGAAAATAAGTCGTGTCTGCTTAGCTGAACAAGATGTAACAGAGCTAACATTTTGTACTCCTAACAGATTTTGCAAATAATGTGGTGTATATTTATTTCACATAGAACACTGGGTTCCTATTTAAAGCCCTATAACAAAAAGTGGACCAACTATGTGTGAATATTTAGTTTCTGGCCTTCTATCTCAGTAGTAAAAGCATGTATGATGTATGGTATTAATTTAAACAAATAAATATTTACTGGAGAAGCTGCTGTACTTTGTATTGAAATGGATCTGGAGTTCCTGGCACTCTAGCTATTTTATATAGTAAATGCATGGGTCTGGTCTGACAAGGTCACACTTTGTGCACCACCACTGAAGAGTGGTCCTTGTAAAGGGAAGCCTAAATCAGTGATGGAGGATTACTTAGAAGACAACGGCAGAAGAGCTGCCAGATCCTCTGAAGCAGACAGGTCACTTTATTATTACAGACTGCAGGGAGGTCATAAAGAATGCTCTGGAGTGATTATGATAGTTGTTAACTTGGCCTCAGATAAGCTGAAAAAAAAGGAAAACGTAATCCTTATCTTAAAGATGTTTCAAAGATCTGAATCATGTAAAAAGAGAGGAAAAAACAACCAGATGTGTTATATGATTGCAGTTAAGAAAGCAGGCATACCTTTATAACTTAAGGAATAAGCAGAAGACACTGAACTCAGAGGATCAGAGTTTCTTTTTCTAATGGAAAACATCACTTTTAAATAATGAGTAAACTCCTGAATTTGTTTGCTTTAATGAGATCCTGATGGAATTGAAATCATCAGGCTTCACAGAAAATATTTTAAGTTGTTTTTGAGCAGAAAGAGAAAGATACTAGAATGTTTACTATAAGATAACTGAAGTAATAAAGAAAATAAAGATATTCAGTTTCTAATTCTCAGAGGCATATACATTAAAAAGTACAAAAAGGCTTATACAAACACTAGAACTACATGCAAAAGACTAAATGAAACAGAAATAAGCCTGTTCTGGTTTCCTGTTTTCTTCTTTTCTCTTTTTTTTTTTTTTTTTTTTTTTTTTCCACTTCTGTTTTGATTGTAGGTAACAATCAATATGAAGACCATAAGGTACCTCTACATGAGGAGGAGGAGAAGGATATGTTGGGGAGTGGCCTAGTTCATTCCCATATGACTCAATATCAGTGAATCTGTTTCCCTTTTATCAGTCACAAAAATATAGTTTAGAAAAACATAAGTTTGTTGCTTTCCACAAATTTCCTTTTAATTTCTGTTGAAAACTGAGCTATGCTCCCTTATATCTTCAAACAAGGAGAAATGAAGTAGAAGAGAAAGACAGCTTCTCAGATGTTCCTGGGGGGCTTTTCTGTGCCTATGGTGAAATGGTGAAAGGCACATTATATCTAAAATGTTTTCATGAAGACAGCCAAATTAATATTGATGATATGATGAAAAGCTGTGAATCATTAAAAGGAAAAACAACCCTAGCTAGATACAAATGGCATGGGATATCTCTAAGAAGAACCAGTCATTGTCAAGTTGCAGTGTGTTAGGCCTTCAAAAGATTAAAATCCTAGTTTAAGTAACAAGGCTGCATACACAACCTCTTGTCAGATTTGTCCCATTAATGAACTCTATAGCTTGTGAGTTGTGATACAGCTAAATGTGTTTGCCCACTGGTTCATGATGCAAAAATCTGATCTAAAACCATGTTCAGGCTGTCAGTCATTTCAGCAATTGTGAATGATGAAACAATAAGTAGGGATCGCTACTAATACTGTCCCAGATATGATATGATGGTGTGTTGGATCATACAGCATAAATTTTCCCAGTGATCAACCTGCAATAAAAGAACAGACGAACAGACATTAGCACTTCGTGAATAAACCTTCTGATGTCCTATCATTCTGTTTACCCTTTCTGAAAGAATACTGTGTATTCAGTCCAATCATATAAATGGTTGAATTTGGATGGAGCCAGACACCATTCCCTTTCAGTGAATTACTTCCTGGATTGAAAAGTCTCTTGTAGTGTGAACATTTTTGTTCAACATACCCCTTTCAATTTACATCAGTGGAGAATGTTGGCTTGTGTTTTTTGAGCTGGGATTGTCTATTTGTATTGTATTTCTTTCAGTACTTAAGTACCTTTACAGTTCTGAATGCAAAATCACTAAACAATAAATTACAATCGAGACACTAATTAGCCAACTGAAAGACAGGGTGTAGTCAAATGAGAACGATGGAGTTGGTGTGAAAACAAGAAATGTATCTCTACCGTATGGAGACCTATTATAAAATTAACAGAGATGGGAACAGTATAAAGGTGACAGACAAGGTGTCACAGAAATGTCTCTGAAAGAAATATAGTTTAGCAAGATAAGTGGCAGATATAAACTCAGGAAAAAACTATCAATACAGATTGATATCATGCAAGGGAATCATGCAATCTGCTTAATGCTTTACAGACCTTGCCATTTTCTACTACAAGCTATGACTTCTCTAGAAATAGTAACTCTTGATCTTTTTTATTTGTTTCATAGGCCAATAGGATTTTTCTAAATCAGTAGATAAAATATTTATACAAAAGAATCAACTCTCCATCCAGCCACATAAATATAATTAAAACTGACAACAATGGTGAAGTCTTGTGTTAAGAGAGTTACACTAAAACTGAAACAGGATTGGGCCTAGTACAACCTGTCAAGGAAGTCTATGAGAGCAGTACCAAGAACAGACAGGTCCAAGATGATACAGGTCTGATAAATGCACAGGCAAACAATGCCTGGGAGTTTAGAAAGAAACATGATCTTACTTAAGGAAAATTTAAAAGCTGTTACCTAATGTGAGTTTTTATTAAACTGAGATTATCTATATTGCAAGTTCTAAACAGATTGTATGAAGCAGACTGCGCATGAGCAGTCAGTTGATATTAGACAGAAACAAAACTAATGCCACTCTGAAACCTTTCCTACAGAAATGTCTGGTGTTGTTCACAGTAACAGTAGTTCATACATGCTTGTTACCATCACTTTCCAGGAGGCAACCACTCCACATCCAACCAGCTGAATGGATCATGAGAGCACTGCAGTGCAGCTAGTCCATTTTAACTATATCATCTCCCAATTAAGTAAACCTGCCTAATTTCGCTCTGAAGGGGATGAGACATGCTCATGCAGACTGTTCCACCCACTCTTCTGTAACATCTGATGAGGACATCCACTAACACACCTGATTTCAGTAGTCAGGTCAGTGGTTCTTCTACCTGATTTGTATTAGCAGATCCAACACATGTGCAGCATGAAACCACCGAACTACTCATACCCTGTTGGATAATGTAGGGCATTTTCATTTCCATTGCCCTAGTAGTCTTGTTGTGGGAGTCTAATAATCCTGTAGATTGTTTGACCTTCTTCCTCAGTTTCTTACAATCACATAGTTCCAGGTTTATTTTTCCAGGGCTTTAGTTCTGTATTTTTAGGCTTCCATGCAGAAGCAATTTTTGTGTAGATCTTATCATGCATACTGAGAAGAGTAAGGCAAGTGATTACTTGCATGTATTTTTGACAGAGGGTAACAAACTAGCAAATTATAATTTCTTATGCTTTGCTTTTTTATTTTGTACTTTTAAAAAATGTTTCCTCTTTTCCCATTTTACTTTTTCTGATGAACTCTTTGGGACCCTAGTGCGTAGACCACTGATCAGCTTCCTACAGTGGACCCTAAGTGTTCACGGTGATCTAATCTGAGACTGCTGGTGCAGAGCCATTTCCATCCTTTTCTTAATAAATGCTTGAAAGAAAAAAGAACACCTCGATGTGATAGACAAGCAGACAGAATGACAGACCCATGTGCACTTAGTTTCATTTTCAAGATCCAGCACTGTGAGTACGGCACATTAGTCCTCAGTTCTAAGAAAGACGCAGATTTAAACATTTTTAGATTTATTTTTAAAAATTATTGCAGTGTTCTGGGGTTTGTACTTTTCAGATTAGAGGCTGAATATGTGAATAATATCATGCAGTGGAAACATACTGATTCACTCAGAGAGGACAAAGATTGTTAATCTCCCTTTTATCTTTATATCCCATCAATTAGTCAGCAAGACTATATTTATAATGCATTTATTTCCGTATGTGGGTTCTTTCAAAGACACATGAAAAAAATCCCTTTAGATTGACAGCAACCATAAATTCCTAACAATCAGGATATGAAGGGTGGTCTCATCCCCTTAATATCATCCCAGAACAACAGCTTCATAAAGCAGCACAGCCAGCAAACCTAGACTTGCTCTTGTGCAAATGCAGGTTTATAAATGCACAGTTAAAGATTCCTTTGCCAAAAATAATCTGCCTTTTTCTCTCTTCTGCAGCTCAAACACCTTAATTATGTCATTGTCAAAAGGAGAGGAACATTCGCTTGTACATCAGAAGATTTTCCCCATTTTATTTTTTTGTTTTCAACTGTCTTAAATTTTTGACCTTGAAGTCTCAACCTGAATTGCCATCAGTCATACAGAAAAATAAAAGTTAGGAGAGCCGGAAAAGACAGCATAATCATTTTGGAGATCTAGGTTGATAAAAAAATGGTACTCTTACTAATATTAAACACCTTCCAACCTGTACCTTAAACATCCCTAAAATTTCTTTTGGTTTAGAGCTTCCTTATGATGGTAACTTAAAGATGAGGCCTAGTTTCCCAGCAAGTAGAAAGTTATCTTACACTGTTCAAATCTGAAATCTCTCCAAAAACATTTAATTAAATATGTAGGTTTTCAAGCCTTACTCTGCAGGTTTTTTTGTTATATTTTACTTTCACATTACTGACACTCCTGCCACTTTCTGAATCAGTTATGCGGGAGCATGCCCATAGGCAAGGCTGTCAGAGCAATCAAACCTTTTTGCCCTGCAGCCCTGTCCTCTCCTGCCAAGGCGTCTCCTCAGCTGGTATCTCCTGAACACTGCATTTTACAAACTTGTTACTAAGCAAAAGCCTTCCAGTTTGGTCTTGTGGGGTGCAAGCCATTACAATTGGTTTTACAAGAGAGATGTGAGGCTTTTCCATACCATGTTAGAGAGTGACAAGCTTCAAACAGACCCAATGGCTTCCAGGGCTGAAATGGCTGCACCACAGCTGCCAGGGTTGCCCAGTGGACCACAGTAAGGTTGGGGCACTGGGGTCAGCCTCCCAGGTCAGCAAGAAGGGAGAAAGGGATACAAAAGGTGTGCAAAAAGGGACTA